AGAGAATAACTATACTTCCAGAAAGCACATCAGCATCTGTACAAGTATAGTTGAAATGTAACACTACCAAAATATATGTATATTGTCTGTACTGTTTGCTGTTTGTTGCAAGGAGGCAAATTGCTGGGAGGCAGATTTCCCCCCCCCCCCCTTGTTTTCCTCCCCAAAAGCTAGGTGCGTCTTATACTTTGGAGCGCCTTATACTCTGAAAAATTCAGTATTTGCATAGTTGCATGAAGCTGTCAAATAACCCTTGCATAGAAGCGTGCTTTACCAAATTCGTTGAATTCTGCAGAGAGGACTGAATGTTTCTGAAAGGATTAAAAAAAATTCCCCTCCGCAGGTTTGGCGAAAGTGCAAAATGCGAATTTTCACCGTGGCCCAGATGGACGACAACAGCATCCAAATGAAGAAAGACCTGGCGGTCTTCCTTTACCACCTCCGAATCGAGGCAGAAGTAGAAGTGGTGGAGATGGTAATGGACTTCTCCTGTCCTTCAGGGGCCGGTCTACTTATTGCGAGCCTGGTTCCAACATGGTCTTTTCCCTCCCTTTAGCAAAACAGTGACATCTCAGCCTACACTTACGAGCGGACCTTGATGATGGAACAGAGATCTCAGATGCTGAGGCAGATGAGGCTGACCAAAACAGAAAGAGACAGGGAGGTATGTCTTCTAATCGCCGTTGTAAAATGATGGTGGAGTGACCATCAGTTGGGTTCCAGATATTCATGTTTGAAGCAAGGATGGCAAAATCAACAGGCTGTAAGATTTTCTATAGGCAGCCGGGACAAGCCATGGAGGCGTTCAAAGGATGTCCTGCATTGTGAGATGTTGTAAATCCTTGTACAAAATTGAATCTAACAATAATAAGGGTATTACAGAAACCACAGCTCATGTTTAAATGTCTATGGGGATTCTCAGTCCTCCAGGTCTTGGTTGTCCCAAAGGTGCTTTTTTCAAGAGGCAGCTGGACTTTCTTGTTTTTTCTTCGAAGACGTTTTGCTTCTCACCCAAGAAGCTTCTTCAGCTCTAACTGGATGGTGGGGAATGGAAGAGCTGAAGAAGCTTTTTGGATGAAAAGTGAAACATCTTCAAAACAAGGAAGTCCAATTGCCTCTTGAAAAAGCACCTTTGGGACACAGCCCAAGTTCTTCTGTATTGCCAGTTCTACAGGGACATTCATCTCCAGTTGATTCCCTTCTTTTATTTAAATCCCCAGGGCTCTCTCATAACTTTTATTTAAATAAGCAAGATAAACGTCTTTTCTCTAAAAGTAGCAAAATTTTGCTACGGTATTTGTGAGCTTCACTTCCCAAATGGTCGCTAATAATTCCTGTAGTTCATTTTATTGATTGTGTTTTTATTGGTCATTGGCTGCAGTGACATTCTGTCTATCTGACCTGGCTACACTACTATTTGGTCATGACATTTCGCTCATCCCAAGTTACTTCCAATCTGTGTCCCACCAGTGATTCTCCAAGCAGACAACCCAACAATATTTCCCATTGGACTAGCGCAGTTGTCTGCAGCCTTAAACACTCAAAGAGCCACTAAGGTCCTAACCGGAAGCCCCCTGTTCAATTCTGGAGCTGACCAGAAGTCCAGTTCCCCCACCAGAGAGTCTCCTCCTGGGGTGGCATCCTTTTCCCCCCTGCCAACCGGAAGTCCGGTTCTCCCACCATAGAGTTTCCTTCTAGTGTGGCATCCTTTTTTCTGTACCTGTCCTAAGTGAAAATCCTATCAATTGGGCAGCCGCCCGGCAAGAGGGAGCCGCAGCAGAGGTGTGAAAGAGCCACATGCGGCACCAGAGCCACGGGTTGCTGACCCCTGGACTAGCGGGGCACAATCCTTTGAAGAACAACCATTTCTCACCTTTTGTTCTTCTAGGCTCAGCTGGTGAAGGACAGACATTCGATCGTAAGATTAGAGAGCCTTTACTCCGACGAGGAAGATGAAGGCGAAGCAATCCCTGAAAAGATCCAAATGACTTGGACAAAAGCTAAACATGACTTTGAGAATCAAATGGGAAATCATGTGATGGAACACTTCAAAGAACTTATCAGTCTTAAACCGTAAGCATCCAAGATCTCCGCTGGAATGAAAACTCTGCTGTTTTTATTTTGACCCAAATCCTTTGGGTCACTAATATTGCAGAAAATCTTCTTTGAGTTGGCTCTATGTTCATCCTGATGCTTTTATTTATTTTTTGCTTGATACTATCTAAACATATTACTGTTATTTTGTCCTGGATGAAAAGGTTCAGCTGAAAGAAATCACCACTATACTGCCAAGAACAAAAGTTCCTTAATTATGGAGTGATGCATGCTCTCCTCCGCTAATTAAATTGGTAGAGTTCCCAAAACATCCCAAAAGATGTGGCATTTTCTAATTAAACATCACCATCCATTTGATAAATGGAAACAGGAAACTTTTTGATGAGGAAGCAGACTGTAAGTGTAGGCTCTCTCCCTCCTTAGACAAATCTTAAACTTCCTGGTAGCAAAAGAGCTACAAACCAAGACTTGAGTCCATTGGTGAAATTCAATTTTCTTTTACTACCGGTTCTGTGGGCATTGCTTGGTGGGCATGGCAGGGGAAGCATACTGCAAAATCCCCATTCCCTCCCCACTCATGGGGGAAGGATACTGCAAAATCCCCATTCCTTCCCCACTCTGGGGCCAGTCAGAGGTGGTATTTGCCGGTTCTCCAAACCATTCAAAATTCTAGCTGATGAGAGGGTGTAATCTGCATTTATTGAAAGATGTACCCACATGTTCCCAGAAAAACCATCAGTGGCTCTTTCCCTGATCAGAACAGGTCCTTAACATGTGTTTTCTGTTCTGACAGGGCATATCCTGAACCAAGAATCTGCTTACAGGATTGGGGCAATTCTAAATGTCAACTTGGACGTAGAGAATACCCAACTTTGAGATAGTAATTTCAGATGGCACTGTGCCTACTAGCTAAGAGCCTTTGCCAATTAGGGTATGTTTATTCTTAGGGCTTTGTGATCTAGGGATAATAGCTTTGTTGTACTTTTCAGTAATTGCTCCCAAAACACTGTTTAGAATGTGTATAAGAGAAAGGGAGACCTTCTGTAAATTACTGATAGTCTTAAAATGGTCTTCCCCTTCTCTCCTGCTTCTCTCCCTCCTCTTGTATTCCCTCCCCTTCCTTTTCCTTCCCAAAGTGCCTGAAGTTGAAATCTGAAGCAATTCTTAATTAACTCCATGCAATCAGGAAGTGAAGACTGTTTTTACCCCATCTCTGGAATAGATTGTTATGAATCATTCCTGCTCGTTTGCTTTTCTTCATCTCTTATAATCTGCAGTATTAAGGTTGGCTCCAGTTTTTGTCAGCGGCCAAGTTTAATGTTGGTCCATCTGCAGCATCGAGTCCGTAAACATACATGCATACAATCACACACTGACCTTAACTAAGAGCAGTGTATGCATTGGAGCTAATTTTGCTTTCCAACACATGAAATGGAAAGAGCTGTTTCTTGAATCATTTTCATATGTAAATAGGGTGGAATACATTATTATAATTATCATTGCCATCATCTTTTGCACTTCGTTTTGAATGCACAACTGTTGGCACCTGAGCAAGTTCTTTTGGGGTTTTTTGATAGGATGGAACACACACACAAACAATGATGAAGAAATAACACTTCAGGCAGAGAAGCATCCCAAAACAATGTGCGTGTGTGGCTTTCAAAACAGTCTTGATTTTTGGCAGTAAATGCCTGGACAAGTTTCCGAAGAGAAGGCATGGGAGGAGTAACACGTGGGTATTACCCAAGCCTTCTTGCCTATTGGAGACTGAGGTATTAATCTTTTGGAGCCACACCTCTGTACCTCCTCCGACTCTCCCAGATTACCTCAGTCTCCGGCCTGAAAGGAGTGTTACTCTGACTCTCCCTTCTCTTCGAAGACTTAGGAGTTTTTTCCTTACAGGATCCTAGCTAGGATTGTTTTCTTGTCAGCAAGGCTTTTCGTTTTATTCCCTCACATCTCCTCCACCGTGCTCAAAACCGCTGGGAAAAGCCTCGCGCTGACCAGCGTGTGCACGTGCGCGCCCTGAGCGTCTGGATAGTCGCAGAAGGGGGGGAGGAAGCCTCCGCGCCACAGAAGGGATGAAGAAATAACACTTCAGGCAGAGAAGCATCCCAAAACAATGTGTGTGTGTGGCTTTCAAAACAGTCTTGATTTTTGGCAGTAAATGCCTGGACAAGTTTCTTACATTGTCGTAGCAGCGTTTTCAGAAACGGTTTGTCCATCTCTTCTTCTACTGAGAGCTAAACTAGAGTGACCAACCCAAAGTCACCCGGCAGGACTAGAA